TGAAGATCTGGATGTGGTTCAGACTTCCACCTATGGTCTTATGTAATGCAGAGACTCCGCAGGAAGCCTCCTTCACTGGGCACGTTGTAGCTCCATTTTAGGTATTCTAATAAATTATAGGCAGAAGACGGACTTACAAGCTTTCTATGGTGATGTTGTTGGCTATTCCGTTCTCTCCCCCTCTGGTGTCTATTTTATAATATAATGCAAGGAAAACCAAGATTCAAAAGACAGCCAAGCATCTTAACATTATTCCCCTCTTTTGCCCATTCCAACCATGTCTCAATCTCTGTATCCTAGAGCCCTTTTGTTCCAAGGTTATGCATGCATCATTATTTACCCATTTAGCCCATTCAAACCTGCCTGATTGTTCTCCCATCTGCTTTGTTCTTCCATTCCCCTTTCTCATCTTGTATATTGCCCCCCCTCCCCAGCACCCAAACTATCCTGTGTCTATTCCCTGCCCTGTGCTCCACCTTCTCCTCCCTCCCCTCACCCTACCCCTATGTCCCAGCAACCAGCAAAGAATCCACTTTAGTGGATTAGTATGGGTTCTTTTTCTTAGTCTTTTACAGTAATGGTCCTATGCAGTATTTCTCCTTTTGTGACTGACTAATTTCACTCAACATAATGTCTTTAAGGTTCATCCATGTTTATGTGGTGGCATGCAGCTTTCTTCTTATTTTTCAAGGTAGCATAATATTCCATTGTGTGTAAGTACCACAGTTTGTTTATCCATTCTTCAGTTGATGGGAACTTTGGCTGTCTCCATTTTTTTGCTATTGTAAATAGTGCTGCTATGAACGTTGGTGTGTATATATATCTTCTCGTGTTGTGGCTTGTTTTTCTTGTGGGTAAATACCAACTAGAGGAATTGCTGGATCATAAGGTATTTCTATTTTCAACCTTCTGAGGAAACACCGTATTGCTTTCCAGAGAGGTTAGACCATTTTGCAATCCCACCAGCAATGCAGGAGTTTCCCAGTCTTTCCACATCCCCACCAGCATTTATTGACCTCTACATTTTTTATCTTTGCTATTATTGTTAGTGTGAGATGACATCTCATTGTTGTTTTGATTTGCATCTCTCTAATGGCTAGTGATCGTGAACATTTTTTCATATGTTTGTTGGCTGCCTGGCTCTCTTCCTTGGTGAAGTGTCTATTCATATCCTGTGCCCACTTTTTAATTGGGTTATTT